TCATGTGGTTAAGTTCTCAGCATATGAATTCCTGAGACTGATGTGAATCTTGATTTGACTTAGTTAATATCAACAAGGAACTTCCACTGAACATCAGACAGGATCCATTTAGTCTGGGCTCAAGGAAACCAGCATTAACTACCCTGAAAAAGTAATTAACGTAATGCAAAATAAACAATTCCAGAATAGCCAGCTGGGAAAGAAACTTTCCTCATAGCCTCAGGCAGTTAATTTATTGCTTACTTGAAAAATAGCAGTTTACATCTCTTAAAGTGAAATATTTCAGACAACATGGACCATTCAAAGGAACTTAAGGGACAGAGAGGCTTAGCTCTTACTCAGCCTTAGTCCACAAGTAAGCTTAATTTGTTTAATTTCCAAACCTCAGAGTTCTCCATTCTAGCCAGCACACATGTGCACATCCTTTTTACAAGACAAAACCACTAATTGTTCTCATCCATCCCATCTGGATGGGATCTGACTTGCACGTTCTCTGCAGAACAGCACAAATTTCAGTTCAGACAGTATTAATTATTGCTGTACCAACTGGCTTGCCCTTGTCTAGGTAAATGCTTATCAAAGCTTGATAACAAATTGGTGACATCCTCAAAATGTATTTTGTTCTTGGCATAATGACGAATTTGCTGAGGGACTGACAGCCTGGCCAGACACACATTGTTCTTCTGTGATACCTAGCATGATAACTAATACCAGTGTAAAGTGAGTCACATCTGTAGCTGTTTTACCTGGAAGAGTTGACTAAAAGGATAAGAAGATGAGCTGTATTTATCAGGCCCCCTTTATTACCTGTTAACTTAGAAAATGATTGATTGGATAGTATGGGAATGGAAATGTGTGAGGCAATGTCACAATAGCTGCATCTCTTGGACACGTCCTGTTTAAACGCATCAAACTCTAACCCAAATACTTTGTCAAAGTGGGTGACAGGTTCACACTTGGCTCAGTGCTGCTGGTTTCAGTGCATCTGAAAGCAGACTCACAGACTGTGGTGTCTAACTTACTTGTAAAATCAAAGAATTCCGATTTCAAGGGTTTCGTTTAAATGAAAATTCAGATTCTGGAGAAGAAAACAAAACCCACTAAAACAGGAAGGATGGTATTGTGGTTAAGTTTCTAGTATAGGGCTGTGAAGACCTGAATTATGTTCCATTCCTAGCCCTTCTGCAGACTATCTCACTCTCTGACTTCAGGCAAATCACTGAATCTCTTGGTGCTTCAGTTCCCCTTTGCTAAAGATGATGCTGGTGATTTGATCAGTTTAGATACTGAGCATCTTCATGTAAGAGCTATCATGTACAGTATCAGCACAAGACAAAAGACAAATAGTCAAATATTACACTATTTACTGAACAATTTTGGCAAGAAAATAGCAATTGTATATTAATTTCCATACTGATCATGCACTTACTGTACCAAACTCTAAACAACATGCTGTCCCACAGACACATTGGCCTATCCATTAATCCAGACTCATAACAGAATCAGTGTCTCCTTCCAGACTCAAAAGCTAGGAAAAAGCTAAAATGGGGAGTGCCTGCTGGTTTCCTAAGCCTTTCAGGTTTTCTGATTTTTTTTTTTCCCCCCAGAGGACTGTCCCTGCAGTGGAGATGAATTCAGCAGTGTGGAATGCCCCATAATGGAATTTATACTGGGGAATACCACACATGGTATCACAACCTCATCCCTCCTGGTGGTTTCAGTGGGTGAGGAAAGGCTTGGAGCACATCTGCCTGCATTATTCTGCTGTTAGTTTGGCTAAGAGTGTGGGGTTTGGAAAACTAACCAACAGGCAAATGTCTCATGTATTCCCAACAGAAACAGTACTCCCCACCTCCAGAATCATCTTCAGCACCATGTCTTTTCTCTTCCTGCCTTCTGGTAGACCTTACCTGGCATCCCTATTCCCAGGGCTTTCTAAACAGATTCCCTGTCACCTTTGTCCTGTTTCTAGCCAGTAAGCCATGCTCCTGCTGCACAAATGCCCAGAAATTCCTCTGAATTTTCTGTCATTTTTCAAAACAATGTTTAAAAAATAGGGCTAAGGATTTTAATTTTTAACTAAAGCTGAGTTTCTTCTTTATCCTAACTTTTGGAGGTTTACTGATATGAACTTTCAGAGCAAAAGCATTTACTTTCCTGCTCTAGAAACAAGGGAGAAAGGAAGATGGGGTAATGTCTCCCAATAATTTTCTTTCCAGATTTTGGTTCTTTCTGAGCATGGGTGAGAATCACCTGGACTGGCAGCAGTGCTTTCACCTTCAGTCCTTTATCCAGAGATGCTCCCCCAGATGCTCTGTCCAGCAGCTTGGCCCAGGTTCCCCTTTCGGTACTGCCCTCTGCTGGGTACCGTGACCGCAACCTGTGGGATGCCGCTGGCACGGAGCCCCTCCCAAGGCACACACTGCCGCGGGGTTAAAGCAAGGGAAACGGAAAGATGGGAATGGAGAGATGCAAAACCAAAACATGAGTGGGTAAAACTGAAGATTTCCCAAGAAATCTCAATTTGTGGAACCCTCACATCTAAACCCTCAACTCCTATCACAGAAACTTCATTCACTATGCAAATCTTCGCACACTACAGCTGAAGCCCATTTCTCCTGGGCAAGCCTTTCTAAGGCACTTCACGGAGCACTTACACTATGGTTCACATAGGGATGGTGTCAAACTCCATAAGCCGCAGCCTGACACATTTGGCTTCTGGTGTCCAAGCTGGCAGGTTCACTCCATCACTCTCCTCTGCAAATGGGAGTTCACCTACCCATTTCAGCCTTGCCAAGCTCTGAAGCTTTGCAACTGGATATTATTACCACATTCCTGCTCAATGAACACGACTTATTGGATGGACACTTTGTCAGCTGCACAACTCAGTCCATGGCAGACTGCATGTGCACCTGCAGGATCTTTCTTTCCCCTGTGATCTTACAAAATTAAAAATTACATGAGAGTGAAACAGCTTTCCTGGCACATCTACAGCAACCTTCAGCCAACTCTGTCTCATGTGAGAAACTCGCATCCCAATGTGTTGCATTGCAGCCATGAAGTGCTCTGCCCCTAGAAGCCACAGCAGCAGGACACGCTGCAGCAGCAGGGAGCTCGCTCGCTGGACACCCCGGGGGCTGGGGGAGGAGTTAAAATAATCTGAGCTGTACTTTTGGTTTTATTTACCTTATCTTGACAGAGTTAAGCACTTCAAAACCCTTTTCTTTGAAGAGTGTGGGGAGGAAGGGGACTTTGTCTTGCCAAAGTAGACTTTAAGCTTTTAAGGGTAAGGCCTGGCTGTAGTACCTGTGTGAACAACAACAGTGCCATATCCAAACCAGCCATGGAATCTACTCCTGCATGGAGCACACTATGCCAAAGAGTGGCAATACTGCATGTTCATATTCTAAGGGAAGTTTCAGTTTCACCAGTCCTTCATGCTTTTGCTTTATACAGTAAAGCAAATGAGCTTCCTCCAGCAGATTATGCTAAATCTTGACTAAAGCTCTGATGCTCAAAACTTGAGAGAGGTGTCTGAGCATAAAGTGAGTCTCTGTGCAAGGACTTAAAATTAATGGCACACTGCTTCTTCAAATTCATGGCAACTATGCTCTTACATGACAGAACATAAGCAGTAAATTTTGGTGGCTAAAACATCATCAGAAATTTAAAGATTCATCTATTGTACACTGGCTGCACATCACTGTAAGGCACTGTATTGCCATCAGGTTATGCCAGTCTGTGATCACACTGGATTTTGAAAAGAATATTTAGTCTCAAAGCAAGAAATACATTTCCTCAATTTTATCCCAAAGGACAACTCACAAGGCATTGCCATCCTGTCTCCCCTTAATCACTTGACAGAGACATTTCCTTTGCATTGCCACAAAACATCATGTTAACTACTTGGAAACTTCTTGGCCTCTAAAACATGGTGGTTAATTAAGAAACATCCTCTTTGGAAGAAAGCACACTTTACTGGGCCTGCTTAAGGGAGCACATAAGATACGTGTGTGGTATTTGAGGTTTCAAATCTCCTTCTGGGCGAGCAGGAGAGCATTCCAAGTCTCCTGCACTGGCTGCTGGCAAGGTTATAAATATAGCTGGGATTTGAACAGCTACTTTTAATTCTGATTACTCTGGAGAAAACCCCAGGGAAATTCTGCTTTAAGAACTCAAACCTCAGTGTAGCATCTTTACAGTCTTCTCAGTGGAAGGATCATAAGCTTCTATGAATGCTTTTTGTACTTTGAGATTATTGGCCTAATATTTTGTCCTTTCTTTAAGTTATACATTAAGTCCTCTTACCTCTTCTGTCCATGCTTACCTGTTAGCTCTGAGAAGAGCAGCTATTTTCATGTTAAACACCCCACAGTTGTTGCTTGCTTGCTTTTCTTGCCATTTCCCCCCCACGTTTTGAGGTAGCTTCCATCAGAGCCTCTTCCATCACCTACCTCTAGTGTCCCCTGGACTCCCTGGGGCCTCAGAGGGCTTTCGTGCTCGGATTTCCCCCGCAGCACCTCTCGACTCTGCCCGCGGCCACCGCCTGCTCCAAAGGGGCTGTCCGGGGGAAAAAAAAAAAAAAAAAAAGTAAACCCAGATGTAGTCGGATAGAAGAAGAGAGGTTGAAGAGCATCCCCAGCGGCGGGGCAAGGAGCCCGCTGGGCGTTCTCAGGGAAGCGGTGCTACTGCTGGCTCAGGGCCACCAAGCCTTTGGGAAAGCGAAAGTGAACGTGGGCCACATGGTTTCCGAGAAGGCGGGGAGGAGCCGAGCGGAGCTCCGCCGCGCTAAATAAAAAGCCGGGGCGATGCGCGGCCACAGAGCGCTGGAGGGGCCGGGAGCGCTGCAGGAGTCGCTCGCCCGCCCGCCCCGCGGCAGCCCCGGCTCGCCGCGGCGCCAGGCAGGGCCCCCGCCGGAGGATGCCCGACCGGCCTCCGGGGCCAGGACCAGGACTAGCAGCAGGACTGGGACTGGCAGCGTCTGCTGCGCTCCGGGGACGGCCCCCACCCGCGGCACCCCGAGGTAAGGGAGGGTGTCTGCCCCGGGGGGTCCGCGCCAACCGCGACGTGTACCGAGAGGGCTCGGGCGCCACAGCCCGATGAGCTCAATTCCGGAGGAGTCCTGCCAGCTGTGCCAAGAGCGTGGCGGCTTCGGGAGTCTTTGCCCTTTAATTTATTGCTTTTTTAAAACACATTTTTCCCCTCCCTTTTTGGCTCGGTGTCCGTGCTCAGACAGACCTGTCGTGCCTGGTGTAAAACAGTGGGACAAGCACTAAAGGGAATACGCAGAAGTCTCCGCTCCGCCGCACTCGTGACACCCTTGTCCCAGATCCCTGCCCTGCCTTTCGGGCTCCAAAGACTGGCGTGTTCCCCGTTTGCTCTGTGCGCTTCGGAAAGGCACTGCAAACTCTCGCTTGGCTCCCTACGGCTTCTGCTAGGGAGCCCTTTGCTTTTTAGATCGCGGGCTTAGTGCTTATTTCTCCCCAGGGTGTCCTGAAACTGAATTTTTAACTTTAAATACTGAGCGATAATCCTGGCTCAGTAATTGGAAAAACTGGCATCAATTTCCTCCTGTGCAAAACAAGCCCAATGCTACTTTCAGCCTGTTACTTACCAGCGAAAGGATTTTATAACCCTCGTAGGTGCTTGAGGAAGTAATATGACCTAAATGAAACTAAACATCAAGTTGTTAAATTAGCACAGACAGGAATCCAGCGGCATGCTTTCTTAGAAATCCTCATTAGCATGTTACCCTGAACTGTGAGACAGCTGAGGGATTCATTTCTGAGAATCCTTCAAGGTTTCTCAACAAGCTGCTGCTGCAGATCTATATCTGACTATAGGGATAAATCCTAAAATCTATGCTTGCCAGTAAGGTCAAGGCAGCCAGCGGAGATGTATTGAACCACACTGTCAGAGGCAGACATTTCAGGCCAAACTCATTCCTGGTGCAGCACTGCTAATTCCTTTGAAGTAACACGAGGGATGAATTTAGTCCCTCATGTTGAAAGATATATCAATAGGAAGCAATTTAGATTGGGCCACTTAAAGTGCATGTGATACAAAAAAGAGAGAGAGACTGGAGTAATGGTTTAAGGGTTCACAGAGGTTGATTTGTATAAGCTAGTAGGTTGTAGCATTGCTGTCCCAAGGGAAACTTGGGAGAATGGAAATGGCCTTTTATGGCTGAGCCTCAGGTTAACAGGAGAGGGGAAAGAAGTTTTAGGATTACTGTGTAAATTGACCGTGTTACAGGCTGCCCCTCCAAGTTACACCTCAGCCATACGATGGAACCTCATCTCACCTCACTCTCTTCCCCAATTATCTAAGAACACAGCCTTCATCCACTTTCTCTTTTTTCATACAATGCATGTACCAAATAACAACATTGTGTCCTAAGTTCTGACATTGTAGTTGGGAAGGCAGAAAAAATAGTAATTCAGTTGTAAAACCTTCCTGATTTGCTCCTTAAAAACTTGAGAATGGGAGAGGGTGTCCATGAGATGACTTCTCATTGAGAAGTCATTTGAGTTGCTAGGCCCTGAAAGGGCTCGTGGCAGGGAAACTTATTATCTCCTGTAGCTCTTAATGATCCTTGCTAAATATTTTTGATGCTTTGGAGTTTGACGTAGTGATAGGCTGCTAATCTCGTCCAAAAGAGAGCAGTTGTTTGCCTGATGTAAACTGGAAAATGAATATTTTATTATTTTATAATGGGTGGGAGGTGTATCAATGGAAGAGCTGGTCATTCAGCGATTGCCGCCGGCTGTCCCTGGGGATCGATCTCACACGGTCTCTCCTTGGCATTTCAGAGTAGCTGCTGGAAGGCCGCCCTGCCGTAGCCGCTGACGCTATGGAAGACCGCATCCGCTGCTCTCGGCTGTAGGATGGTAGCGCACAGCAAGGTGTCAGCAGATAATGCACTTGGAGCAGACCCAAGAAGACTTCTTGACCCTCCGGCACGGGATTGCTCACAGGCACGAGGCTTCCAGGGCCCCGGCCGGCCCGGCACTGTGCAGGCACAGGGCAACACACACTTCCGAACCTTTCGCTCCCAAGCGGATTTCAGTAGCATCACTCGAGCCAGCAGCCTGCTGGATGCCTGTGGCTTCTACTGGGGGCCTCTGACTGTCAGTGCTGCCCACGAGAAGCTGAAGTCTGAGCCCGAGGGCACCTTCCTCATCAGGGACAGCACACAAAAGAATTGCTTCTTTGCCATCAGTGTTAAGACTGCAACTGGACCCACCAGTATCCGGATTAACTTTCAGACCGGGCGTTTCAGCCTGGATGGCAGCAAAGAGAGTTTTGACTGTCTTTTTAAGCTGCTGGAACATTACCTAAGCTCCCCTAGGAAGGTACTGGTTGCCCCCCTTCGCAAGGTCCGGGTGCAGCCACTGCAGGAGCTCTGCCGGAAAAGCATCGTGAAGACTTTTGGAAGAGAGAACTTAAATCAGATCCCACTCAATCCTGTTTTAAAGGACTACCTGAAATCCTTCCCATTTCAGATATAAGTGCAGCATTAACTGTATAGGGACACATTAGACATGTGTAACGAAATCCATCTTCCTGGGTTTTTAAATATGTTTGACAGTGAGCAAACTTATTTTTGTAGCAGTTTACTGTATTTTGTGATGGAACCTGAACACTTGACTTCTTATGTTTACAAAAACTGTTTGCACAAACCTGGGGTTTTAAAACCCTGGCATAATTTTTCTGCCAAGCAGAATATTTTACTATTTTATAATATTTTTAATGATATTAACATAATAAACTTTATTGTCATGGTTTTTAAAAAAATAGCATCTCTGTTTGTAGTTTTAAAGGCTCTGGCACCTATCCTGCTGGCAGACTAACTGCTTAATTGAGTGTGTAAGTGCAGACAGGTCTCCCCAGGTCCAGCTTCTTTGCCCTAGCAAATTAGTCTGTCTTAGTGCTGGTCCAGCAGGCAGAGGATTCCTGCTTGCAAAAGCCTACAACAAAAAAGGGCAAGCAAGTAGAAAATATACTCAGGGTGAATCTGCCCAGGAATCCACCTCTCTCCTAAATCCATGAGAGCAGGGACAAAGTATTAAGGCTGCAGTGATGCATAGTTTTTGACACAGCAAATCAAACCGTTGTCTGAGCAAACTCCACCAACACTGGTTTGTCTTATTTCTGTGGAAAGGTGCAAAACCCTAAGCTAGAAAATGTTGCTGTCTGACATAACCAAACCCCAAGAACCTCAGTGGGAAAAAATAAAACTGTCCAAAAATGCTCTTCACATACTTTTGAAGTCTGTGAATGCTGTAACATTGTGGTGCACTGGGGAAAGGATAGCTTAGTTCCCTTTGAAAATTTGCATACACAAATGGCAAAGGTGCAGACATCCTTAGACATAAAAAAGATGTTTTTCATCTTAAATTCCTCCTGATCTACAGAGCAGAGTTTGGCATGTTAAAAGAGTCTATGACGTAGCTCCGTGACAGGATCCAGAGAACATCAGCCTCTACATTTGCAGCTGTAATTTTTAGTGGCTAAGCTGCATTCAGAGAAAGTTAAACTACATTAACTGTTCTGTTTCCATCTGCTCATGAAACACAAAAACAGTGCCCCCAGAAACTGCAGCTGTGAATGACCTGAAATGCCAGATTTGGCAAAGTGTCACCTGCATTATGAGAAAGTGATTCTCCTCTCCCCCAAGCATTTCCTGAAATCCATGAAAAGCTGACTTAGAGAAACAGCTGAACCAAATCACTTCAAAGAAGGCACAGTCTTTCACAGAAATGTACTCTATCAGCCCAGATCTACAGTGCTTACAGGAACTGCAAGCAGTAAATGAAGTAATCTTCAGAGTTTGGGAGATAAAAGATCTCTCCCCCTACTGTAATTCACATTCCTTTTAAAGATAAAGCCACTTTTAGGAGACACTGAGTGTATGTTCTGTAGTGATCCTTACTGAATAATTTGTTTAATATTTATTAAATCAGCTCTTACTTCATTGATGTTTCTTTGGAATAAATAGGTTTCCTCCTCAGACATGACTAAGGATCACTCAGTGACTGGACATCATGAAAAAAGGGAAAAAGAACACACAGGCAGTATCATGTGAGTTTCTGGTGCGTTGCTTCCCTGAGAATATTCTTTGGATCAGTCCTAAAACAGCAGAAAGCATTTCTGCTTAATTCTAAAGCTGGAATTAGTTGTCAAATGATGCATTTTCCCACAGCAGCTGCAAGGATGTAAATTTGGGAAATAGTGAATGCTGTGCTATGCTGAAGATAGGAGACTGGAGGAGGCTACTGCCTGAATGTGAATACATTGTTAAATTGGAAAAAAAGTCTTTGTAGGGTGAAGGCTGCCAGACTGGTTTGCTGTCGGCAGAGATTGTTATCCCTCCCCCATACTCTTTTTCCCAACTCCACGTCCTATCTTTTAACCCTTCAGGCTCTGAACAAGCGGCTCTTGCCCTGCTATACAGAAGAGTGCCCACATGACAGCATTACTGGTAGAACAAGTACAATGTAACTTAGGAGGTTGTCTGCTACCTCTGAGAAAACCAAGCAAAACTAGACCTAGATATAGAATAAGGGGCTTCCCGCTGAGAGGTGTGGAATGAAAAGCATAAATATTGAGTGAATTTCATTTTTTTCCTGGCAGAAACAAACCTGTTTCTTTCTTATACTGCTTTAGGGTAAGTTTAGCAGAAATAAGCCATATCCTCCCACATGAGGTGCCTAAATATCTTCATTTTGTCTTTATTATGAAATGCAAATATGGGATAGCTCAGAAAAAAATATATAACCAAAACTATAAATAAGGACAAGAAGGTCAGAATTGTATAAAATGTCTCTTAAGAGGAGACAAAGCTGACTTGTATTTTTAATTTACATTATCTTTACCTGCCTTATTTTTCTTCCCTCCTCTCTTTCTCCCCAGCATACAATACAGTGGCCAAGTTGGGTTGCTCCAATGCAATAAGGAAATCCTAACCACAGCATGTGTGTTCACAATATCACTCTGACTTCCCTTCTATAAGAGCAAATGAAGGGCTCTCTAAAATGTCTGCTTACCTGGGTACATTGATTTAAGGGTGATGTCACTCCCAAGGGGCACCGCAGGAGCCTCCTGAAGATTTCTGTAGTAATTTCAGCTGTCAAATCTCTCATTCTCAGTTTTAATAAAGCAGCAGCAAGGTCAAATAGGGAATTTACAGTACTCTGCACCTAAAGCAATAGAAATATGCAACAGATTTTACTCCCTCCTGCTAAATAGTACATAAAGAGTGGTGATTCCAGTCCCTTCCCCTCAGCCAGCTCTTTCCTCTGACCTTTTGACTGTGGCTGAAAAGTAAACAGTCAATCTGTTAAAAGGTTATGGGAAAATTTGAGCCATGCTCAGGAGCCCAGTAAAGCCATGCTTTGGAAGAGACTGCAATATTTGCAGTGAGTGGGGAAGGGAGAGCTTTAAAATGAAATATTTACAGTGAGTGGGGAAGGGAGAGCTTTAAAATGATGCCATTTGCAGCGTGGCTGTGTCCCCAGAGCAGCAGTGGGCTCTGAGCAGGGTCCTGCTGGACCCAGCCCTGCTCTGGGACTGCACGGGCCGCAGGCCTGAGGCCTCCTCACCCTTTAGCCTGAAACACGTTTTACTTTTTGAGTAGTTCAATTACATACAACGCAACAGCTGTAAAACACTAACAAGCAGAGCAAATTAATAGACCTGTAGAAATTCAGAAAGCTGTTTGTTTAAGCTGTGGAGTGCAACTGAGTGCTCAGGAGGAGGAGGAGCTTAAATGCCAAGCAGGGCCTGTTGCCGTGCTGGGGCTGTGGTCACACTAATTCTGTTATGATTGAAGTCATTTACAAGAAACGAGGCTTCAGCTGCAGTCAGCACTGATGCTATTTTCAACGGAGAAGAAAAAAGTGTCCCCTAGGGCAACACACTGCCCATATCTAGCTATCAATACTCTTCCCCCCGCTGGTACGGATCCTGTGCTGAACAGCACATCCAGCTCCTGACCTCCTCAGATCCTGGCTCAGCCCTTCCTGCTGTGCTGGGCTGCCATTCAGGCCCTGCCTCTCCTGCCCCTCTCCATTGTGTGAGCAATGCGTTTATTCATCGATTCCACTGATTTGAGACAACACAGTGTAACAGGGACTGAATTTGGACTTTACATGGCTTTCTGTGAAAAGTGCAAGCTAACAACTGCCCGTGCCCCAAGTTTCCAGGAAGTTTCTCCCAATTGCCACAAAGTGCCATTCAAGACCTTTCATTGCCTCTGACTTGTCATACTTCTGGATAGATAACTCAGATCCTGTCACTGTGTATGTAGTTTTCATCCACAGCTGTTTCCCAGTACAGCAGCCAAATTTACAACACCCTAGTCTAATTTGCTGCTTGTGTCACCATGGAATAACAGCAACATGGGCCAGCAGGAAGTGTAAAGAGAAGCCCAGCTTCTCCCACACAAACCACTGCTCAAGTAGGGCAAAGCAGCAAAGGGCAGAGTCAGAATATAAACTCCTGACTGACAGACAGCTGAATTATCCACGTGCCAGAATTATTTCCCCTCTGCAGCTCAGTGACATGCTTTGGATGTAGCTATTGAAGACAAGAATGATAGATGATTGTGCATAGCAAAACAATTTCTCTGTAGTCTTCAGCTATGAGAGAAGCAGATACACTGTGAAGATGAAATATCAGCCTAACAGAATGAAACAAATAACTATCTGCACCATAAACCCCATTTGCCCAGTTTTGTTCATTCTGTTCTTTTTAGCATGGCAAAGTAGGATCACCTTTCTGTTGTCATTTTAATCTCAGTTACTCTTAATTTCAGTTATTTTTTATAGCTCCTAGCCATGTAAAAGAATGGTAAATCTGGTCATCACTCTTAAATAGGTACAGAAGATACCATCCAAACATCTGTAGCAAAATTTTAGGTCCACTGAAATCAATTGCCAGGGAATGGCTGACTTTTCTGCAGATATTTTTATTAAATAACAGTATCTTTTAAAAATTAAATGCAAGAGCTATGATTGCATCACAAAGATTTCTTACTTGATAGAGCCTCAACAAATTCACAGGCTGAGAATGCTCTGTTTTGATGCTGTGAGAGTGTACACAAGGTTGTGTGCAATTTCTTATCTCCATTCCTTGCAGCTCTACTGCGTATTTGCAAATCAACTCTGTGCCCTTCAAACTGAAACTGCCCTTCAAACCAAACTTTCCCCAAATCAACTTCCCTACAGCAGAAACTAATTATTACTGGAATTTGAGTCAGATTGAACTTTCAGGCTGAGATTTTAGGTCTCCTCTCTGGGATTTGAACAACTTCTGGTTCCTAGTCTGAGCACTGAAAACAGAAGATAAAATATTGTTCCCAAAATGTTACAACACAGACCCGACTGAGGCTTACAGATTTTGTAATTCTCAGTGTAATAGTCTCATTTGGTTATTTCTTGGCCTGCCTGTGTACCATCACTATTCAGACAGCCTAGACAGATCTGGAGGTGGAGCTGGTATATCCTAGAGACTCATGTAACTGAAGTAGGATAGGTATTATCTCTAACATTATCATTAGGATGAATTCGGGAGATAAATCTGCTACACAAGTAAGGTTAGTAGCTGTTTTCTTAGCTCCATTTTGCTAGACTTTGCCAGCCTCTATTCTACATACACGATCTGTTCAGAAATAACTTTGACAAATGTTTCAGAAATTATTTTGTCTTCTGTCACACTTACATTCTCATTTGCACTCACCAGGTCAGTTGTTCACACCAGCTAATTTAAAGAGCTGAATTAGATGAAAA